CTGTCCACACCCTGTTCTCCTGTCTGCTGCTCCGCGATTCCCTGCTGTCCACACCCTGTTCTCCTGTCTGCTGCTCTGTGATTCCCTGCTGTCCAAACCCTGTCCTCCTGTCTGCTGCTCTGTGATTCCCTGCTGTCCACACCCTGTTTGCCTGTGTGCTGCTAAGACAGGCTAAAAGAACTGATCCTTGTTAGTCTTGTACAGAGAAGATTATGAGAGGGCCTGTTATGGGCAGTAACAAAGTCAAGCCATCAAACTTCTTCAGAACCAACAATGAAAAACAGACTAGAGGTCACAAGTGGAAACTACATGGAAGTGCATTAAAAACAGAGAACAGGTGGTGCTCCTTTGCCCAAAGGGTGGTGGGAGTGTGGAACAAGCTGTTCAGCCATGATCTTGAAGCTAATAATTTGGCTTCATGGCTGGATGAGATCATTGGAACAATTATCCGCTTACTACAGTTGTACTGAATACGTGTACTGAATCTGTGTACGAAAACATGTCTCAAACCTGCAATGCTGTGCTGTGGGAGATGGGTGTTTTGCTGTGTTTGGCGGAGGCCATGGTTTAATAGAAGTGCAGTAGGACAAGAGCAGACCTAGGAGCTTATAGAAAGTTGGTTTGACCAGTAAGCCTAGCAGCGAGTCTGTCAGTTTGAAAGTGAGTCACTGGAGGGAGCTATAAAAAGGTACCGGCTGAATGTGGTTTTATAGAATTGTCTCTGACCGTTTGAACAAACAGCACTGCCACTAGAGTCAGGCATTGCCTTTTGAATAGTACCTTCTACCCTTTGGCATTTGAAGAAAGAGATGTATGCTTTTTTATTTCTTCCTTCATTTCACATTGCTCCTTATTTCTTTCAGCAAATATTTGATTCATTTTTTATCCTCAGAAATGAGTCATATGTCTTGAAGCTATAATCATCTGTCCCTTTGCAGAGCAGACAAGGTACAACACAGGAGCTCTGTCTGTGTGTCTACAGTACAGCACAGGCAACAGGAGCTCCGTCTGTGTGTCTACAGTACAGCACAG